GCTGCAGTAATATAGCAAATGTATCCTGCTATTTCTTGAATGTTTTGGCTTTGATTTTGAGTTTTAATTTAATAATATTTTTAATTGAATTTCTAGTCTTGCACTGATTTCTTTTAACACCAGTTTTGCTGCTCTCAAGCTCCCGAATGGCATGCAGAATGGTTATTTTATGTAACATTAACACGTAACAGGCTGGATGGAGGCTTGTGGAAAAGTGCCAGCCTTGTTTTTCTATTTGCAGGTTGGCCTGGCCGTGCCTGTGTATGTAAGAAGAGGGCAGGCAGGGTATCAGTCAGCTTTCAGATCTTAAAATTTCTTAATGGATTAGCAAGTGATGGGATTAGGCAAGTGACAGAATATCTTCCTCCCGCAAACCTTTATTTTTGTAAACTGTAAGTCTTGGCAGTATTAGTAGACAGTCTTTTTGAATGTTTCAGAGAGCTTCAGTTCTGTGGCATGAGATGATGAACGTGCCTAACACTCTTTATATACTCAAAATAAACATCATCTTTGTGGGGACTTTGACTTTTTTTCTTTTTTTTTTTTTTTTTCTCTCTCCCAGGATCCTTTAGATCCAACAAGAACAGCCATTGTGATCAGCTCTTTGGTGGCAGGCGGAGTCGCCGAACGTGGGGGTGAACTTTTACCAGGTGACCGCTTGGTGTTTGTAAATGAGAAATCTTTGGACAGCACCACTTTAGCAGAGGCAGTGGAAGTGTTGAAATCTGTGCCCCCAGGTACAGTTTCTCTTGGAATCTGCAAGCCTTTGGTGGTAAGGAGTGATTTTAACTTTTTTCTATTTGATTCTATGATATGTGCAAATTTAGAGTAGAAGTATGTATGCATGTGGAAAGCAACTAAGTTGTTATGCATACACATTGACTTGTCCAGAAATTCTGCATAGCTGGCAAATGGGCAGCTCTATGTCCAAAAGGTCTGACTGGAAAACCAGTGTTCCCAAGTTCTTCCTGAAAGAACATCCACGTGGAATCAGAAGACATGTCCGGACAAACGTACGTGCACTGGCCCTATGCATAGGTGTAACGTGATTCAAGCAATTCAGCAAATCAGTTAAATATGTGCTGAAGTCCATTTCGCTCTAAGACACTGCTAAGTGCTTGCTAGAGCTCCACTGACATCAAAGAAACTTAATCTGTTTGAAGTCAGGACTGTAAATTCAAGTTGAATTTCCTTTTTCTAGAATCAGGGCTTTGGAACAGACAGTAGTTTACTGGAGAACACTGCAGTATTGTTCATCAAGGGCACCCAGGCAAAATTAATTAAAGTAAAGCACCATCTAACAGAAAGTGCTTGTAATTCAAACTGGTAGAGGAGTGGTGAAACAGGAATGTAGGAAGGCTGTTAAATACATTCTTTCCTTTTCTAAAAAGTGATATTTCATTGTTCATATCCTTATATTTGTCTGTCTTTCCCACACCTCTCTTTATTTTTCACTATATCTCTGCTAATATCTTAAAAGAATAAAAGCTGTTGTCTTTGTCTCCTTCGTTTATAACTTTCCTTTTTTATAATTCTGTAACTTCTTCCCATCTCTTATCTAATGGCTGGATCTCCCTCTTCTAGTTTATTGAAAAATGTGTGGGTTTTGTTTGTTTGTTTGTTTTTCCTGACTCATCATTTTGATTGCATTTCTTAGGGAGAAAGCAAAGAGGAGCAGAGCATGCACAGTGTGGATTCCAGCAACATTAAAACCAGCCCTGCATCCCCAGAACCAATAGATAATAATAATTTCTCAATAATACTTGAAGCACCACAGGTATTTGGTTACTCTTTTGGTTCAGTTTAAGTTTATATGCACAGGAAATGATGTTTTAAAGTTAAAAAACATAATATGTCATTGAGATAAGACTTAAGTATCAGAAAGACTTCAGGCTGTATTCCCTCTGAAAGAGACTCCAGCAGCTGACTGTATCCTGATTGTATTGTGAACACTGAGCATATGCGTAGCACTTCCCAGTGCAGTTCCCAGACTGCCTTATCAAATTTACTATGTCATTAAAATACCTTGGGTTGCCTTGGATATGAAATAGGAATGCTGTGTTATGAGTAGTCATAAGTATTTCGTTCAGTTTTGCAAAGAAAGTAAAGTATGGAAGCAGAACACTTTTTATTATAATGAAGCAAAATTAAAAAGTAGTCTAGTGTGTAAGGCAAGCTTGAAATCTGTTCTTCTTCATAGACTTCCTATGTGGTCTTGAGTGATTTCTTTACTCTTTTCCTTAGTTCTCTTCTTTCTTATTTTTGGAGAAATAATTCTGTTTATAGTGGGAAGATAAGGAACTAGAGATAGTGAGAAACTCAGATACCAGGGTAATAGGCAATAATACTGCGATACTGACCTGTGTAGCATGACAGAGATGTGGATATTTTTGAATTTTCATCTGTTCTCAAGTGCAATGGAAAATTTTTATTAATTCACGTTGGTAAGTGCATTCTTTTTAGATCAGAAAATACAGTATTTAAAGGATCATCCAGAACTGCAACACAGTAATAAAAATAAACTTGAGATTTTCTTGTTGTTAAACATGTCTACCTGTTTCTGGATACAAATATATCTTTAATGCTGAAATGGTATATTAGAACCACGAAAAGCAGGATTATTACAGGGTAGATGTAGGTATACTATGCAGAAATTAGCTTGGGCATGATATTTACTGATTTTCCTGATGTAAAATAGAGTTTGTTGTTTTCTGGGTGCATAGGAAGGGTTCCTGGCAGAGCAATTAGTCCTCTGCCAGCTCAGATTATTTAAAAATACTTAATAACATTAGTATTATCTAGGAAGCAGAGAAACAAAGTCTTTTATCTTAAAGTCCTCAATAATAGAGAAACTGGAATGATCAATTTGTACTAAATGCACACAGAGGTATTTGCTTGTATTTTGTTTTATTGTATGTGTGACAGCATTGATAGTAGCTTACAGCAGTAGTATAAAATTTCCATCCATTTATTGTCTTACTTGCTGATATAAGAGCCAGGAGTGGTGTGTCATGATGCCTTCTGCTCTTAGGCACTAGCATAGTGCTGACAAAGCTGACTTGAAAATAAATTTTAAAAAAAGGAACTTGAAGATTTTATTTGCTATAACACTAGACTTTACTGTCATGTTTGCAGTATTCCCTGTTCCATTGGTAGCGTCTGCTACTGCAGTGCAGCAGTCTGTGATTTTACACACCCATCAGGAGAGGGTCCTACAAATTACTGTGTGGGTCTGAGCAAAGTCAACTCTTCTGTACAGCGATAAAGTCGGTGCCTCTTACAGAAGCGTTTGGAGACTAACGATGCTGCAGAAGTGAAGTGAAATGAAATGAAGTAAAGATGAGGGCTGGAGCACCTCTCCTATGAGGACAGGCTGAAAGAGTTGGGGCCGTTCAGCCTGGAGAAGAGAAGGCTCCGGGGAGACCTTCTAGTGGCCTCCCAGTACCTGAAGGGGCTACAAGAAAGCTGGGGAGGGACTTTTCATAAGGACAGTTAATGACAAAACAAGGGGAAATGGGTTTAAACTGAAAGAGGGGAGGTTTAGATGAGATATTAGGAAGAAGTTCTTCACTGTGAGGGTGGTCAGACACTGGAACAGGTTGCCCAAGGAAGTTGTAGGTGCCCCCTCCCTGGAAGTGTTGAAGGCCAGGCTGGATGAGGCTTTGAGCAACCTGGTCTAGTGGGAGGTGTCCCTGCTCAGGTCAGGGGGGTTGGAACTGGATGATCTTTAAGGTCCCTTCCAACCCAAACCATTCTATGAAGAGAATTAGAATCTCTTCAGACTGGGTATTTTTTGAGATTGAGGTACACACAGGTCAAATACATTGAAGGAATATTTAATGCTTATGAAAAATGTGCTAATTTCTAGAGAGCTAATGTTCTGCTTTCATGCCAGCTAGTACTACTGCACTGTTTCCTTGTGCTCTCGTCTGTCTCTTGTTTTCTCTCCTGCCTCTCATTTGAACTGTGCAAACATTTTGCAAGCATCTGGGGTAGGATTTTTTTCTTCTGCATTTGTACAAACCTAACAAACCAGGATTCTGACACTAAAGGTCAGAAACAGTGAAGTACCTCGGGGAGTCTGGGAAGGGGCAGGAAGCAGAAAGAACAACGTTTTGATTGAGGAGCCCCGAATCTGTAGATTGGTTTCAGTGTTGGGGTTGTGGTGCCTTGAAGATTGGATTTGGGCATAGGTACTTGGTGGCCTGAAGAAAGGAGAGGGAAAGCTTTCTGTGTGGGGAAAGCTTCCTGGTGCAAGACATAACATTTCAGACGCCTGTGCAGACCCACTCTGAGCCAAGGAATTGCACCCCAATCAGGACAGAGCATTGGAAACTGGAGAGGCACGTGACAAATCCCAGAAAAATAACTGCTGAGTGAGATCTTTTGGAGTGGGTTTTAATACCTTTTCTCTTAGCTTTGTTGTTTGTTTTTTTATTATTTGTTGCTCTGTGGTTTGAATTTATTTTTTGAGGATATGGGTCATCCATTTCCCCTCTCCCTCAGGTTAAAATATAGTTCGGTATATCTACGGAAGGGACAAATTTGTGTGGCCTTTGGTTTGGTTTTGGGGGGTTTTTTGTTGGTTTTGTTTGTTTTGTTTTTGTTGTTGTTGTTATTTAGCATTTGATTTTTTTAATTGTTTGGGGGTTTTTTTGTTTACTTGCTGATACGGTTGCATAAGCAAACTCTCAGGCTGTTGTTTATTTAACTGATAGCATTGTAAGAAGTGTACATAAAGCAATAAGAAATAAGCACAGAGATACTTTAGCCGGATTTATATATAATTTTTTCCTGTAGGTTTTTTAGTGCTGTTTAATAATTCACATTCCCTGACTTCAGCCCAGATTAGTTGTTCTGAATGGCTGCAGCAATATCTAAGCTGTGCTACTTAAATTTCTTTATATTTTTTAAAAAAATTGCAATGTCTACTTTGGGTGTTAGAATCATAAGTCAGAGACTTCATTTTCTTTTAGAAAATGCAAAAGGTAGAAGATTTTAAATTTAAAAATCAGGATGTACTGTTAACGCGGGCCTAACATAAAACATAGCAAGAAACAAAATGTAAAAATCTGTATTCCTGTAATGTTTTATGCAGGGTTTCAGAGATGAAACACCTTTCAAAGAAGAGCTTGTTGATGAACCAATTTTGAACTTGGGACGGTCATTTCAGCTTTCTCAAAATGACAATGAGTATGAGAAGGAGTCCTGGGAGATGCATGAATTTCTGAAACCCAGAAGAGAAGAAATGGATGAAGAACGGGAAATGTTGGTGGATGATGAGTATGAAGAAGATTCAGACTTCCTGAAATATAATGCATCCTATGAACAGAAGGTAATTTCAGAGAGGAACCTCAATACAGAACAATGGACAAAGCAGCTTGAGACTAGGGAAATACAAGACTTAAGATCCGGTGTTAGCTTAAGTCCTAAGCAGTCCCTGGAATATCCCTTCAGTAAAGATCCAATGGTAAGGAATGCTGTGTTGGTCTCAGTGCTGCACCCTGACCATCAGACCCATACCTCCAGGCAAATTCCAGACCTAAACTCTGTAAGGAATCTTTCTAGTGTTATAATTACCAGATAAGATCTAGGTACCTCTAACAGACACCAGTCTGGCCTTTTGTTGGAAGGTTCTTTTGGTTACTTGGTGTCTGTATATTTAACTTCTTGAATGAGGTAGTGCTGTGGTTGGTGTATTTATGGGTATCCTGTACTTGCATCTTCTTTCCCATCTCTGAGTTGTGGGCTCAGATCTTTTTTGCAAGCTGTACTAGTATGGTACATATCAGTAACAGCAGAATGTCAGTTCATGCTTTTAATAGTCCAGGGCCTTCAGCAGCAATGTCAGTGAAAGGAACTGCCTTTTTTCCTCATTATTTTTAATCCAAATCAGCTCCTTGAGCCACATAGTGCAGCTGAGTGAAAAATGATATGGTGGGAGCAATTGTAGCAAGCATACTGGTGGGTGAAGGAGTAGGAGACAGAGCTTAAGGTAAATTGCAAAACTCTATGTGTCATCCTCAAGTATTTTGAGGGTTGTTTGATTTTTTAATTTTTTTTTCCTTCTGAGTCTTTGTTCATTCATTTGCCAAACAAAAAAGTTATAATATCAGCCTTCCATGGACCAGCTTCCAAGATGTATGCTTTTATATGAAAAACATGGAGTGGGAAAGGATTTAATATCATAGCTATGGAGAATTTCAGATTTTGTTTGGCTTGTCCCCTTACACACTGTGTACATAAACAGGCTAAAATGCAGCTTCTAGTGATAGATGTATAGCAGAGTGTGCAGTATGAAATGTAGATGTTTGTCACTTAAAAACAACAAATGAGTAAGAGTAAAGAACTTCTTGTCTGGATTACAGGCAGTTGCTTCATATTGCAATTGAGCAGTTAGTATTTCATAGTTATCTGAATAAATACGAGAATGTATCTGGGAAAATGTAATGTTTGCTGTAAAAAATGATTTTCATGTCAAATACTCTTGTTTAAGTTGATACCATTGCTTTCTAACTTTAATTTTTATTTTTTTTTCTCTTCTGTGAAGTGTGAAGAAAATGTTAGCGTAAGTTCACTCTCTTCTGGAACCACAGCACAGGGTGGCTACCAAAAAGACATATTTGATACTGAAACTACCCAGTCAGGAGCAAAAAACAAGATGGAATTAGGTTTGTAAGAAGCTTTTTCTTTATCTTGTCCTTTCATATTTACAAATTTAAATTTTATACCAAAATACAAAGTCTTTCAAATGATAAAATATTCAAATGAAGACTTCTGCAGCCTCAAGACAGTCTGTCTTTCAATAGGTTTCACCTTCATGATCTGGCTTCCTCCTCCAAATCTTTACCTACAGTTGTCACAAGTGATATTGAAAGTGGCTGCAGCTTTGCATTGCCTATGCAGAATCTCTTCTGTGTAGCTATGTCCACAGGAGGACTCCATGCATAAGTATAATAGCTCATGGCTGTAATTTCTGTCAGAGGTTTGTCTCAGTCATTTTGATTGCTGATTTTATAAATTTTTGCACTTTAAAAAAAAAAAAAAAAGTGGCAGGCTGTGGAGGTAACGTTGCCACAACCAAAATTTGCAGGTAAACTCTATGGTAGATAATTGCCCCATATATCTTGGTTTTGTAATCTGTGCTCAGAAGCAAAGTTTCTTCTTGTCAGATGGCCAGAGATGGGTGGTTAGAATTTGGTAGATCATCAGGAAACTAAATTTGTCAGCCTGCCTGAGAGAGCACTTACTGGCTGGGAGAAAGGTTGGGTTGTTTCCTGTCTTTGCCACCTGCATCTTGTAGAGCAGACACTATTTAAGCTGCAGTGGCAGACTGACAACTCTTGCAAGGAGCTCTGGTGGTTTATTAATATTGATATTTATGTTACCAAAATGACTTTAGTCTTCCCCAGTGTGATGGGTTTATGTGCTGGAGCAGGGCTTTGCACCGCTCTCCCTCCATGAAGGATGGATTCACTATTTCTAATCAGGTGTTTTTGTGAGGAGCCTCTGTCATGTAGGTTGTACCCAAGCATGTCTCAGTTCCACAAAGATTTGGCATTTCCCATTACTGCTTGACTGCAGGTACATCAGAAGCAAGGTGCTATGAAAGTGTTTAGGGTGGTTTAAATTTCCTTCAGAAATAAATGTTCTATATCTCTAAGCCTCTTGATCATCACACAACATCTGCATTTGGAGCATGGTGAGCTGAGGGCTTTATTTCCAAGGGTGATAACTGGTAGGTGCAGGGATAGAGGAAGCAAAAGTTTACACCTATACCTTTTCTTCTTCAGGTACAAAGCTTCAAATTGACTCTAAAGGACACAGGCTTGCTGTTGATCTGGAAGCTGTTGAAACAGAAGAACTAAAAGGAGATTATGTTTTTTCCAAGAACCAGGAATCTGGGAAAGTTACTACCTCAACTCAGTCCAGAACAGTGTTGTGCAGGTATAGAGAAAAATTTCAGTTTTCAGATGATTTTCAATTAATACTCTAAATTTTCTTCTTGCTTTCCTTAGCTGACTGATCATCAAAAGCTGTGTTAAACAATAAGGTGTGCACAGGTGGTCAGTTCTGTGACTTTTGCCCAAGCAGCTGAATTTTGCTTTACAACCTTATTGAATCTTTACTTCCCATGTTTCCTCTCCTGAGTACTGCGACAGAAAAATTGCAAATGCCTCTGCTACCTGCTTCACTTCACAGTGAGGGGAGCATGTATGTGGCCTGAAGGAGAGGGACGTAGCCTTTCCCAGCAGCATTGGTCATTACTCTCCCTGTTGCTCCTTATCACAACTCTCTCCTCTTGATTTTCTGTTTCCTTCCTTCTGAGAAGAGCAGTTCAGCCATGGCTCTCAGGTCTGTGCAGGAAATTTTAGTCTTGCTGGTGCTACAGAGAAGCCTTGAGCTGGCACTGGTTGTAGGTATTCGCCACATCTGTCAAGTGTCCCATACTTCCCCCACCAGTTTTGAGTGAGTGAGTAGTGGATCTGCTTTGGGGAGTGTTGATTCAAATCCTCAGTACTTCCCTAATTCATCTGTAGCCTTCCCTCACAGGGAAAGCAGCTCAACAGCAAGGTGAGGGGGTTCTCTCCAGCATCCTACTTCCTTTTTGCAGTATGAGAGTAGCATTTACAGCCCTCAGGACCTACAGAAAATGTGTACAAGGATGTAGTGTTTCAACCTGTCTGTGGGGGCATGCAATTCCATACTTCCATTCCTATTCTCTGATTAGGTGAGTCACATAGAGTATAAAAGTTCAGTTAACACTGTGTTCTGGGGTGTTTAATAGAATACACTGGATCTGTTCTCCTAGTTGCATCATGATCTGCTTTCTGGTCAGCTAGATTGGTTTTATCATGTTTATATCCCTCTATAAGAATCACAGCATATTTATCAGAAAGTAAATGTTAATTTCTTCAATAGTAATTTTCAATGAGTAAAGGAGTGCAGATTTGTGTATCACAGAGCAGCTTATAAATATGGCCTGCCTGTCATGTTTATTTCTGGAGCGTTCCTTAAGTACATTTAAACCTAAATAGAAAAATTCCTGTCTAGTTTGTTGACTCTGCACATTTGGTTTAAACTGGTCAGTGTGAGAAGGTGTTGCTGTCTCACTGCCAGGTACAAAATATGTAAGGAATTGCAACCTGGCATGGGTGATGTCTTTTTTATTTTTTATTCTTCCCCATCCTCTGCCCCTAAATTAGTGAATTACCTGAGAGAGAAGAAGGAGAAGGAGAAGAAACTCCAAACTTCAGCCACTGGGGACCACCACGGACGTATGTTCATGTGATTACATTATTTCTTCCCATTTACCTTATGTCTGTTTTCTGTGAGACCAATGATTTGGGGTTTCATGTTTTTGGTGTTGGTTTTTCCTCCCGCCCTCCCCCCCCCTCTTCTGATAGTAACTTTAAGGTACTTGTCTGCCTTGGGCTTTCTTAGATACAGTTAATTTTTAACAGATGTTCAACAGAATTATGCCTTCTATTTATACAGCTGACTTGGGAAAGCTTGTCAGGTTTACGTTGTGGATGACCTACAAGTTCTTGCTCATTGAATAACTATTAGGTGTGAACAATATACATAGTGTTGCTGTCTCCTTTGCCATGGGTTCTCTGCTAAACTTAATGGCAGAATTCTAAATTGCCAAGCCAAGTTTTAGCCACATCCTTGTTGTATTGTTGACATTTTTAGGTGAATTGTTTTTATGGTCCTAAGTAAAATATGATCAGAAAATTTCTGCTTAAGATGATAAATATGCGTCTGATACACTGAAGTCAGTGTTCAGAAAGTTGTATGAAACACTTTATTCTTTATCTAGCATACCACTGGCAGTATTTGTCATTTCCAGGCAATTTGCTCAAACTGGAAGAGGATGAGGGTCTACTTGAAGACCTGCCTGTCTTACCCTGACTTTCTCTGAAATAAAAGCCTGTTGGAAGGGCAGTGAGCATGGGTTGGCAGCAGAATTTTACTCTTTTTGTCGAGTGAGGTCTTACTCAGGGTAAAAAGCCACCTCTGTTGAGAGCATTCTTAGGCTTGTGACTTTATCCTTTTATTCTAGTAAATCTTCTTGAAAGACCAGAAGTTTACGTTTATTTAAGGCTTTGCATTTATAATTTACAAAACTGTTTCAGTCTGTTGAACCACTGCATGTGTTTTTTCAGTGTTGAGATCTTTAGAGACCCTAACGTGTCTCTTGGAATCAGTATTGTTGGTGGACAGACTGTCATAAAGCGCCTGAAAAATGGAGAAGAACTTAAAGGGATCTTTATCAAACAAGTTTTGGAAGACAGCCCGGCAGGAAGAACAAGGGCTTTAAAAACTGGAGACAAAATAATTGAGGTAAATGCTGATAAACCTACTTTTTCATTGTAAGAAATAAAGATTGACTCTGAAAGGTTTGAGAGGAAGGAGGGACAAAATACCACCACCACTTCATGATGTGTTGATGATACTGTGTTTTGAAAACCGAAAGAAACCCCTGGTGTTGTCTTGTCTTCTTTTTAAGGTCTGACTGTGGAGCTCTTAACATTCTCCTCTTTGTTTAAGAAAATATAGGTCCTGGTATTTCATTGGGAAATAAAAAAAGAAGAGAGTGCCCTCTTCCTATATAAATGAGTAATAAGTTATAGCATACTTTTGTAAGTTATAATATATACAAGAACAGATGCTTCATACTGAAATTTGGTCTGTTCTTTTGTGTGTGTTAATTTGAAATAGTTAACAGTCTGATTAACTACTATTTGGGGGAATTCTTTGATTCTGGCAGGTGCTGTAAGGGAGAAAATAGTTCCTGGCTTTTATCTCTGGTTTTGTGTTGACTTTTTACTCATTTTTCTCCAAATGAATACTGTTCAATCTGGGTTCCCAAGCTGATAGTGCTGTTCTTGTATGTGCTTTAGGGTCGTGTGTGAGGTTTAGTTCACAAACAGGTAAAATCTGAGACAGCTGTATTATACCTACCATTATATATAAGGTTCTCTATAATCTTATTCCTTATGCTTTTATGTGCAAAGGTGGCTTTGGTAAACATATGACTACCTTTTAATTATGAATACTAAGTAATATACTTTTAGTTAAACCATCATGGAAATATACTTTAAAAATAATTTCTCTTGACTGCTTTCAGTACCTTTTTCAGATATGATAAATCTTCTGTGAATGTGTGTGAACTCTTGGAATGACTCTATGCCAAAAACAAGCTACCTAATAAAAATAAACATTGTTTGTTAGGTTTCTGGGGTAGACCTACAAAACGCCACACATGAGGAAGCAGTAGAAGCTATCAAGAATGCGGGAAATCCTGTTGTGTTTGTGGTTCAGGGTTTGTCTAACATACCAAAAGTAAGTTTATTTGTATTTTTATTCCAAAACTTAATAAATGTGTAATACTCATCTCATTTTAAACTTGGCTAAATTTATTTCAGCAATTTTCATCAGTTTTTGTATCCATCCTTTCTGTCAGAGTTTCTGCTTATTGACCACGTGATTGATTGATTTGGCCTGGTTTGAAACCTTGTTTCTCTGATGTAAATCAAGTAGATGTAAATATGTTGACTAGGTCTTAATTCAGTTCTCCCACCTGTGTAAATTGCATCTGGCCCTGGATATTTTAATTTGTTCATGTTTCAAAATCTAAAAATACAGTCTTATCCAAATGAACAGAAGTGTAATTAAAATTAGCCAGGTTCACACTAGCAACTGTGTAAAATATGTCATCAAAGGGACCTGAAGTAGTTATTTGGGAGCAAGAGATGCCTCCTCATCTGCAAGGCCAAGGCAAGAAACCTTTTAATGCCACAGGAGGAAAAGGTGTACAATTCTGCCTGCCTTGAAGTACACACAAAACCCCCAAGCCTTCTGTGTACTTTTGGTATAATCTGACAATTTAATTGAGAATTTTGATGGATTAGTAGACCTGAGGAGATTTTTTTGACAACTGTAGACAAATCTGGCACAACTGTGTCCATTATTTTTCTAGTACTCCAGGGAGTCTTTCAAAATCTATTAAGACTTTCACCAGCTATGCTGGGAAGGTGGTCAAGCAGCGATGGCAAAAATTACAGTGATGGTAACTGAGTTGGCTCCCTTTCTGTATCAGCTTTTTCACAGGAAAGATCTAAAAACATTGTCAGTCCATTCAAGTGTTCAGCTGCATCTCTGACCCCTTACTTTCCTAGTCAGTCTAGAGAGATCAAGGGAAAGATGGATAACTTGAAATTTGAGTTGCTTTGCTTTGAACTGTAGGCTGTAGGAAACAGGACGTTCACAGACTTTCAGCACTGCTGCACAGTCCCAACTTCCAATCACCAAAATAAGGTGCTGGCAGAGGAGTGGGAATGTATTACACTTTGAAATAATAAAGGACAGCAAGGAGGAATATTAAATGGAGGCTAAACACGCTGTCTTTTATAAGGTGTCTGTGTGCATGGACACTGGTGTCTATCCGAATAATGAAGAACTGACACTTCAGGAGTCCGTGCTGAGCTCTGTATGGTGGATCTACGTCCATGTTGTTGACTTCAGGGTAATTTTTAATTGAATGAAGAGAGATGGGGCTAGTTATCAAACAGTGAGCACTAAAAAAGTAGAAACTGTTGGTAAATGCAGTAAAAGAATGTAATTTAAGGACTGCACTGCAATGCCCTTCTAACTGGGGCAAAATGAAGAGTGCACTCGGTAGCTTTATAGTTGTCATTATGTAGCTTTTGGATGTTTGTTTTGCAGCTATAATGATCTTTCTAATGTGTAATATATGCATTGTTTTTCAGGTGGTTCCTGCCGTACAGCCTAAGGGAGTCAAAGTCAGCAAAGATCAGGATGCAGAGAAAGAAAATAAGAGTGAAAAGGTATTAATTCCATTCTATGCTATACTCGAGTTTTACTAAATCAAATGGTATACTAGCATGCATTATAACTGTATGATAAGCCCCCCCTGAAGTCTGAAATGAAATTTGAAGTGGTTTGTTGAAATATCTTTGATTGAAGTAATTTTTGCCAAATTTCTGCCAAATACAAGGCAGGTTTCTGACTAATGTTCTGTGGATCTCCCCTGGGAGCTGAAACCCTGTACTTATTGGAGCTCTTCACTGGCATCTTTCTGGAAGTACCTGCTTTGCTCCACGTGGAGGCAAATTGATTCTCTTTGTTCAGTAGAAACAGAGAAATAATAACATGTACACAAATGATACCCTTAATGTGAGGCTGGCTGAAATTCAGTAAAATCATGTTATAGGATAATTAAATCCGCTAAGTCTCCTATGATTCCCATTCCTGTGTAAAACAAGGAAATGACCAAGTGATCTGTAGCTGACCAGCTAATTGTGAAGCAATTACTGCACAGTAACTTTCAAGCAACCTCACAGCAGATTTAAAAGAGAAAAAATCTGTTTGGTCTAAGCCAGTGGATTTGTTTTGATTGCTGCAATAAGGGAAAAATTTAATTTCTCATTCCCAACCAGATTGCTCTAATGGCCCAGGTATTTTCCTGTGGGAACTGTGCCAGCTGATACTCAGGTACTTTAAGGGTGTCAGAACTGGAGGAGCAGAGACAGAATTAGTGCAGACAATAACTTTTGCCTGGTGCAGTTTAACATGCCAACTACAAATACAATGAGCTTTCATTTGATCCTACTGGGCAGTGTGGTGAGTGCTGGATAACTGCAAAGGCCTTCTTGCATCCAAAAGCTTTTTTTCTCAGACTCCTTTCAGATGCTGTCAGATACAGAAGCTATGAGGATCACTTATTCAAAAACATCAAGAAAGGTGTTGAAATCATGCTTTCATGCCAGTGGATAATACTTATAATGAAGCAGTTACAATCCCCTTTTTTTTTGGTTTTGTTATCTATATTTCTAATCTCAAAAGTGCTCATCCTCTTGCAGTGTGCTGCTTTTAATCTCTGGGACTCCAGTGTGTTCCATTCTATGGTGTGCGGAGGTTAAAGAGGGAGCCTAATCTTTTCCAAACCTTTTTCATCTATTGGTGCTGTAAACTAGTGGGTGGAATATAGAAGAGCTTCGGTGCATAAATATGTAGCTCCCTTTTTAGCTTTGAACATTGATTCACAAAGCAGTCATACTGTGCTACAGTAGGGGCATCTCTGAGTTGGAAGGAGTTGCTGTTACTGGATTACTAGGCTGCATCCCTATGGGGAATCAATGATATTTCTAGTCCAGTCTTCAAAGTGGCACAAAAGAGTTTGGTTTGAAAGCAGCCACATCCAGCTGGAACATCTGCCTGTTCCTGTATGATGAATTATCTTTTCAATACCAAAGGTTTTCTCTTATTTGTTGGTATTTATCCTCCTCTATTGATCTGTTTGTTTAAAAATTATCACTTGAAGTAATTTATATAAAACCACTTAAAACAATTGAGCTTCTTGTGGACAAACCAGATATTAACATTAGTTTGCTGTCTGGCTATGTAAACTACACTTTTTCCTCTGTGCTGGGAAGAGCTGTGTGAATACAAAAACGTGGTGTAGTGGGGTACTCCAGCACAATTTACTCATCTGGCTTTTCAGCAGGTCAAGAAGAACGAGAGAAGCTTGTCCTGAGCCATAGCAAACTGCTGGATAAGATTAGGTGTCCTATGTAATTTCACACAGACTTTATAACAAATATTTAAGGTCTTAAAAAGCCAAAGAGTCAACATTTAGACTAAGAGTTATTACTAAATTACAGTGATACTACTGATTTGTTACAGGCAGCTGAATGTGGGGCTGCAGGTTTTCCATCTTTACCTGCTTGGTAATGTGGAATGTGAGTCCTCCTTCTCATGCTTCCTGGATCTTCTGGATTTCGTCCAGTTCTACCTGTGTTGACATCAAGCAGAAAGTGGGAGGAGTCTTTGGTGTATTGTGTTCTTTGGGGGAACAACTGATGTGTTTCCAAGTTATTATACACTCTTACTACTATTGAATGGAATTAATTTCATTTATTATTGTTATCACAGAATCACAGAATATTAGGGATTGGAAGGGACCTCAAAAGATCATCCAGTCCAATCCCCCTGGCAAAGCAGGAACCTCAATGAGATCACACAGGAAGGCGTCCAGGCGGGTTTTGAATGTCTCCAGAGAAGGAGACTCCACCCCCTCCCTGGGCAGCCTGTCCCAGGGCTCTGTCACCCTCACTGGAAAGAAGTTTCTTCTCAAGTTGAAGCAGAACCTCCTGTGTTCCAGCTCACACCCATTGCCCCTTGTCCTACCATTGGGCATCACTGAGAAGAGCCTGGCTCCATCCTCCTGACATTCGCCCTGAACATATTTATAAACATTAATGAGGTCACCCCCTCAGCCTCCTCTTCTCCAAGCTAAAGAGCCCCAGCTCCCTCAGCCTTTCCTCAGCAGGGAGATGCTCCACTCCCTTCATCATCTTGGTGGCTCTGTGCTGGACTCTCTCCAGCAGTTCCCTGTCCTTCCTGAACTGTGGGGCCCAGAACTGGACACAATATTCCAGATGGGGCCTCACCAGGGCAGAGTAGAGGGGGAGGAGAACCTCTCTTGACCTACTAACCACCCCCCTTCTAATGCACCCCAGGATGCCATTGGCCTTCCTGGCCACAAGGGCACAGTAGCCATGAAGACAGTTATGCTGTCTTCAATGCAGCACTTCCCTGTAACGTTTTTTAAATTGATGGGGTGATGTATATCTTATCTCACAAAGTTTTCTATGTAGCTTGCATTGCAGTTTAGTAGTTAGACTCCTCTGTACAAATTCAGGCTCTAGATTTGAAAAATCCATATACAGGTTCAGCTTTCATTGCACACAGTGAAGAATTTTATTTTGAATTTGATGTTTGGGTGTTGAGTTGTATTTCCCATCTATAGAAGAAATTAATTACGGGCATTCTGGTTGCACTAATGGCATATCGTACTCAGTGTTCCCTTCCTAAAGTGCATCCTGCTATTAGTAGGGAGGTTGCATGGGATGCAGTTGAATGTAATTTAGTGAAATCGTGTAGCAAACTAAGGCATGAGACAGTTACTTAGAGCTATAAAAACAGTAGCTCGGACGAACAAGCACTTGTTTTCATTAGATTCAGAGCCTATCCTCTATGCCTGCTATGCGCCGCTATATGCATCATTATAGGAGCTGCCTGTATTTATGTGAGGTAATAGAATTTTATTGTAAGTTATAATTCAAAGTCTTTTTTTAAATTTAAGCCAAAATATAGATGAACTGTTATGTTTAAATATTTGTACATTCACTAAGAAGATTGAATCTGTATTTTGTATTTAAAAGTTTGACTTATCAGTACCAAACAGTTTTGTTGTCTCTAATGAGAAATGAGCTATAACTTAATATTTGTTTTTAACCCTAGATTAATGTTCACAGTTTTGTGTTTCTGGTGATTCACAAGTATTTTGTCAGCAAGTAAATGTGCATGCACAATTGTATTTTCTTGTTTGATGTTCAGAGTCATTTCTTGTTCTGATTTCTTGCATAAAAAGCCTATGCTGCAGAGTTCAGCATTGTAATTAAGTGCTGTGTGTATATATATATATATATTTGTGTATATATATATGTGTGTGTGTGTATATATATATATACACACATACAGCACAGTAGACAACAGGATTTTTTATTTCTTGTGCATGGAGGTTACAAAACATCTGTTTGTCTTTGAATTCGTTAGAGACAATATGGGGCTCCACCTCCAATGAAATTGCCACCACCTTATAGAGCACTTGAAAGACTTCATGCAGAGGAACCCAACGTGGATGAAGAGGAGGATGAGGATGCTTGTGCAGAGAGTGAGTAGTGCCATAATCATTACGTCAGATTACATTTATGGAACACAATCAGACTGTGATAAATGTATCTGCTGTTTCTTGCTTGTATTCTGGGAAGCAGTGCTCAGTGTGGCAATAGCATCTAATCCTCAACCTCGTCCTTACCCAGGGCTTCTGATTTGTAATTTAGACAGTTCCAGCCAGGCTCATGTAGCTCAGCTCTTCTGAAGAGATGTAGGAAGGGCTCTGTTTCTTTTCAGTCTAAAAACATCTAAGCAATGTCTAGAGGACTTACTTTGGCAGTGGTGTCAGCAGTGAAAGGCAGATGTTGTGCTTTACTGCTGTAATTGCAGTGGTAGTTGACCATACGTAGGTTGAGAACCCCTGGTGCTTAGACCTTTTCCAGAAAAACCTCCAGCTGATTTCAGACAGTGCTATTCAAGCAAAATATTTTCCTTTAAAAAGAAAAATCTGCTGATTTATTGTTTCAGTACTCTACTGAAAAAAAGGATCCCCTTTTTTTGTAGTACCTCTTATGGAAAAGGTTCTGCAGTTGTCCAGTTCTGGGTTTTGCAGTGAATTATGATGATATGCACTCTGTGGAGGAGTAGAGACCTAAAGGGTGGGATGCAGAGCAACTTGAGAGCTCCTGGCAGTGTGACTTAGATTCCAGCATGCTGCTTTGTTAATTACAACTTTGGATAAACAGAATATTATTATCCATAGCTTACCTTCCAGTAAAATATGTAGGAATACTAAAGTTGCAGTTAGAAGTCCTAAATTATTTTTTAAAATTAGTTACCTTTTATTTTTTTCTCTTTATACTCTCTTGTACCAAATCAGCATACATGTGGGGTTTTTGTTGGGGTTTGCTTTCTTGTTTTTGGGGGGTTTTTTTTGCTACAGTGGTTTTTCTCATGATCTTTTGTCTTGGAGTGTTTTTTGTTTGCACTAGTTATGGGTAAGCCAGAGCAGAGAGATGCTTTTGTAGCTTTTGACCTTGAAGCGACCATGGCTCCCATTCAGAGTGGAAGCTCCTAATTTGGGGCCTGCTGGTGGGAAAGCTCTTCCAGCTGCTCTTGCTGATTTTCTTGGCAATGGCATGCCATTGAAGCTGAGATAATTAATGAGTTTGGTTGGTTTGTCACTTTTAGGGCTGCTTTGGTGGAGATGAGAAGGTTTTTGGAAGGTTGTTCTCATGGAAACAGTAATGGGGGCAGAGAAGCAGGGTGTTCAGCTTTGCCTCTTTTGATTTAAGGGAAAGCTGTGAGTTCTTGAATTGACTGAGATTTTTCCAGAACTCCCCCTTACTGAGTTTGTCATCTCATCTGTTTGGAGTGTGCCACATAGTTACCTCGAGAAGGTTTTTCAGTATTTTTGTGGGGACTGGTAGTCAGGAGGAGCATTTGACTGCAGACTCTGTGGATGTTGGATTGAATATAACTTGAGCTTTCAAACCAACCCTATAAACTTCCAATTGTAGCAAACTGATTTCAGCTTGTTATTGAAGTTATAATTCCCAGTTAAAAAAAACATTTGATAAGTAGCCTGACACCTGAGTTATCTGATTAGGATATGCCTCAATCCGAGTGCTTGCTAGACCTAAGTTAATACTTTGCACAGGAATAATTTTTTATTGATAGGCTTGGTCATTTTTTTAGCTTTTCTGCCATCCCTAATGATACTGCCAGCTGAGTCTAATAGCTGAAAAGGTAAAGCTACTTCTGATATTAAATTCATCAATCCTACCAGATTTGGCAGCAGCAAGCAGATCTATTCAGATGAATCTCCTTCTCTCTACCCTTTTTACTGACTGAAGCTGAATGTTTTGCAATAGCCATCTTTCCCATGAATCTTGGAAAACCAAGATGTGCATTTTCCATTTTATTCTTCCCCACCTCATTCTGTTTCTTTAAAACAAAAATCAGACTAAGAAAGCTTAAACTAAGGTTGTACCTCAACCCTTGAAGTAAAAAGCATATTAGAAATGATCTAACTGTACTTAATGATATTAAGCATCTTGGCAGCTGTGGAATGGGCTTTTACAGAGTATCTTTTCTGTGGTCATTTGAAAAACAAAGTTTTCTCTGTAAATTCCAGTACAGTATTGTTTTTGTAGACTACTCGATGTTCATAACTTCTATCCTGAGTACCTTTCCCAGGCCAGTAGTTGCCTTTTTAACACCATCCATTTACATTTTCATATTGATCTATTCCTTGCCTGCTTATCCTATTAATTCTACTGGTTTTGTAAACTTAACTAAGAATTTTCTGAGCTTCACTGAACAGGTGAACTAGATTTGTTGTCCAAAAGGAAGAAGTGGTGTCAGCTCAGGTAAATTTACATCATAGCCTCTCCTTCTTTCATGCACTTCCTGTTGTTCTCAGTCTGTGACAAGAGCATGGAGGGCCTTAGCAGGCATTTTGAGGTGGGACAGCTCTTAAATCTGTACTCTGGTTGTGCCCCTGATGGATTTTAATTTATTTTTTAACATTTTAATACAATTGCAGTGTCACAAACTTGCTCACCAATTTCTCTCATGCTCCAGAAATACTTTAGTTGCTCCATTTGACATTTTTTCTCCTTGCTTGTCACTTCTTCTGGCCCATGCTTTAGACTTTTGTCTCCATGTCTTTCATCATTCCCCATACTGAAAATGAAAGCAAAGCGTTGTTAGTCTCCCTACCATATTTAGAAAATTCTTCTTCCCTTTCTGTCCCATCTGTACTGCCTCACAATCTCTGTGTTTTGTCTGTTTTCCCCTTAAAGTGGCTGAATAACCTTTTGGTATTGATTTAATTTCCCCTGTGGGATCTAAATCCACTTGCCTTCGGCAATGCTCCCTCATATTTCTGCTTTTCCACCACTGAAACTGTAGCTTTCGTTGCTGAGTTGCTGTAACAAACAATCATTTCTTGTAGATATTCTGCCTTTTCTTATCAAAGGTTGATTTTGATCCAAAAAGAGTGAATTCTTGTTAGGGATAGAACTACTAGGTATCTCTTGGTTTAGAGGAGCTCCAGATGTCCTCCATGTTTCCGTGGTTTAAGAAGTTTAAAGAAGTTCTAGGTGTTTGGGGTTTTTTTTAATGTGTCTTCTTGCACCGAATACCGTTAGTTTCTGACTTGCTTCTCTATATTTCAACTTCATTTGAACTGTCATTACTTCCCATATTATTTTCTAAGTTCTTAGATAGTTTTTTTGCTAGACTTTGAAGGTGAGTTGAAAATGGCATTTCTTCTTGTTTTATTTCTTCCTCTAGTGATACCATTAAATCTTTATCAGTATTCAACTCTAACCCTGCGTGGTGTGGCTTTTGTTCACTCTTTGCTTTGACTTTGCTGTTCGAAGGCTTTCGCTTTACACTTTAAAATAGTTTTGTAAAATTTGCAGCCTGTGCATTCTGCTACAAAAAGAGCCTTCCAAATTCTTCATCTTACAGACCTGAAAATGTTACAAGGTGAATTTGGAGTTTTTCCTCCTCACGTTGGAAACACTCCTTCCATGGCAGAGATTGTTTTGGAGGAGGTCACTCTCCATGAAGAGGTTTTTTAGGCTTCCAAACGTTAAAAACATCAGGTTTTGAATAGGATTATTTTTTTTTTTTTTAATCAAAACAAGTAAAAGGAGGGGAGAGCATACAAAGGAGCTATTTGTACTCGCAAGCAGCTGTGCTACAGGCTGTGTCAATAGGCATTGGTGTGTTTTCCTTTAGTGGCGGATGGCTGTAGGTGTGCACTAAGACTCTGCTAATAGACTAATGTGCACCCTGTTGAGGCTTATTGCTATAATGAGGGGTTAGTAGTAAAAAGAAGCAGAGGAAATGGATGGGCAGAGTAGTTTGTAATGGAATGTTTTGTAAGGTTTTCCTTGGGGCATCATAACTGTACAATTTAGATATACTCTTGAGATTGAGTTGAAGCAATCATAAGTTAGATAGGAAAGATCTTAAAAACCCTTGTAAGAAAGCTGAAAAGACAACTGTTGAAAGAACTTGCAATCCTTAATTTCAGTTGATGTTTTCTAGTGAAATCTTTTGTCTAGTTAGTTGGCTGAGATTGATCTGGTTGGCTTCAAATAAGTTTAAAATAATAAAAATAGATAATAATAAAAAATTTGTGAAAGGTGACTAAGATAATGGACTAGATACTCCTGTGCTCAGACTTCCTGTCTGCAAGGATATTTAACTGTATCTAATAAGGGGATAATAATGCCCCCTTCCTTTTATTTTGTCTCTAGATAATGTAGAAATCAATGAAGCTGTAAGAAAACATAATGATTTATCTTCCTAAAATGCTTTTTGAGGAATGGTGGTTTCTCCACCAAAGCAAGATTTAAAAACTTCTCTTGTATTTCAACTTTGTATTCCCCGCTGTGATAAATGCGTAAGGGTGCAAGAGGGGTGAGTGTGTGTGTGTGTGTGAGTGCACCCGTGTAGTTTGGTTCAGACAAACCCACGCTGCCTGTTGTCTTGGTAGGGTTGGGGTTAGAAAGTGCTTTGGCATGTGAGCAGAGTGTCCTCATCACACCCCAGGCTTTTAGCAGCTTCCATAGTGTCAATGAAATCCCTACACACATGAGAGGATGGTGGCTTTGATTGAAAACAAAAGGTGAAAAAAAGGAATAGAGTTCAGTTGAGACTTTGTGGAAGGTGTGGTCGAGTATATGGGGTGTGCAAAAATATGACCTCAGGAAGTGTCCTGTTGTGGGCCGAGATGGGAAAAGGATCATTGGCACTTTGGAAAAATGCCAGAATTATTAACAATGACTAAATAAAAACAAACCCGCTGATCAATCAATATAATCCTTGAGGATCTGACTATTTAGAGTCTGTTTTATGCAAAGCTATGCTATAACAAAGGAAAAGATTGCTTAATTTTATTTTAATTTTTTGGGAGGAGGACACCCAAAACCAGTGATCTTCAGGTGAGGCAGCTTGTGTAGCCAAACGCTGCCTCTCCAATAGATGTCACTGCAATCAACAGCAAATAGAGATGATGTTCAAAGAGTAAGATATGTA